CGAGAAGTAATGCTTTAAGTGCAGTATAAAAGTCAGTCTCGTTATTTGGTTCAGCGAATTGGACAAATCCCTTGTGACGACTAGTTCTGTTAACTGGCTCATCTTCATCCGTTCAGTAGTTCAAAATTAGGGACATGTACACTCGAATCCTAGGAGTCTCTGGCTTAGCAGTTTAACCTACGTGTCGCATTTTCAGGTCCCAATATAGGCCCGGCATGGCCAGGTTGTTAGGGCGTTTGACTAGCAATCTGAGGGTCGCGGGTTCAAATCCCCGTCCCACCAAGTGTGCTCGCCCTTTCAGCCGTGGGGACGTTATGAAGTGACGGTCAATCCCACTATTCGTTGGTAAAAGAATGGCTCAAGAGTTGGCGGTGGACGGTGATGACTAGCTACCTTCCTTCTAGTCTTTCACTGCTAAATTAGGGACGACTAACGCAGATAGCCCTCGTGTAGCTTTGCACGAAATTCAAAACAAATCAAACCAGTCCCAATACGGATTACCTTCATTAATAATTTCTCAACGACATTTAATTTAGGCCTGGCGTTCCCTAGTGGTTAGCATACCCGCCTGTTAATCCGAGGATTCGTGGTTCGTTTCCCATTTACTTTAAGACAGCAACTGTGAAATCAACTATTCGGTCAGATAAACGTAGCCAAAGAGTTGGCGGTGGGTGCTTTTGGGTTACTCCCTTCACTGTATTTTTTAGTTAAACATTTGAGATTATTATGTAAAATAATTCTGCAAAATGTGCTTCGTTTTCCGAGTCTTCATTACACATGTTGAATAATTAAAAGATGTAATGTATAAAACGGTTCTTTTGAGAAGTAGCAAACTGTGACAAGAACAAAGATCGTTAATTTACTTCAAAACCAAGTATACACTATCATTTTGTATTGTTACGTTAATTAAAAGAGTTGGTTACAATAGAATTTGTAAATATTTAATGTTATTATTTTTAATTTTGATTTTTATTATTATAATTTTATGACATTGTTTTGCATTGTTACCTTACTATACGTATTTAGAACTAACCTAAATCAGATAAGCTGGCCGAACCTCGTAAGATATTATTGGATTTCAGCTGAAAATGTTAACAGTGAGGGTATCCAACTGATGGAAAATGTTAACAGTGAGGGTATCCAACTGATGGAAAATGTTAACAGTGAGGGTATCCAACTGATGGAAAATGTTAACAGTGAGGGTATCCAACTAATGGAAAATGTTAACAGTGAGGCTTTCCAACTGATGGAAAATGTTAACAGTGAGGGTATCCAACTGATGGAAAATGTTAATAGTGAGGGTACTCAACTGATGGAAAATGTTAACAGTGAGGGTATCCAACTGATGAAATAATACATTCTAATATTTTTAAGTAAAAAAAGTGGATTTAATTAGCTATATTCATTACTGGTTAATTTATAGTATCACTTTAAAGTAGATGGTTTGTTCTGATCAGAAGTTAATAAACGTATATGAAAAAGCAAGAAGATAACATAGAACATTTTGACAAATTTCTTCACTTCCGTAAACTGAAATGCTTTTATATAATTGTAGAATACATTACAGCACCTCTGTTTGATTAATCTCGAAAGTTTATCATGTGATTACAGTGGCGAATGATGTTTCCACATTGCAAGAATGTATGCTTTTGAAGATCGATGGCATTTCGTCATAAGAGGCTACGTTTCGACTGAGCTCCATGACACCCTGTTTTCCTCGATTTCGCGAATGTCAAGTCAAACCTGATATGAGGTTTCTCTTAATGATATTTATCATGACATAACTGATTAAGTCGCCCCTACATAGTAACAAGTGATTCGTAAAACACATTAAGCAGTTGATATATTCATTCTACGTGTACTGTTTTCGAAGGGTATGCAAAAATTTTCAAATAATACAACATCGTTTCTACGCAGAACATTTCCACACCGTTTTTTTTATAGGTCCTCCTTTGAGTCCATTTTGAAAACCCTGTATCCAGAACTTGCCCCCAGTGACACAACAGTATGTCTACGGACTTACAACGCTAGACACCGGGTTTCGATACTCGTGGTGGGCAGAGCACAGATAGCCCATTGTGTAGCTTTGTGCTTAATTCCAAACCAAACAAAACAAGTATCCAGAACTTTTCCTCATTCTTATCGTAACTAATAACCTATTCCATTGCCGTAGGGAGCAATTTGGAGTGGTCAAGTTATTGCCACATTGCCATTTATAGATAGATCTGGGGGCATGCCACCACCAGAAAATTTTTGGAAATTTAATGATATTAGATTGAATCTTGAGCCATTTTAACTATAGATACTGCATATATACAACGTTATGTATTGAATTAAAAGAAGCAATTTTTAATACATATGTTATAGCTATAAATGCCATGAAAAAGTGATCAGACCATGGCCTGATTGGCCTTACCGCTTCCTATAGCCCTGATAATTCTATCATTTAATGAGGGACTGTTTATCTTCCAAACTTTATTATTCTCAAGGGATTGAAAAATCCCAGTTTCTGTGCTGTTCGACGAATAAGTGTCATTACGGTTCATTTGGTTGTTGATCCTCGAGAACTTTAATTAAATGCCAAACTTAGCATCGATAGTGTTATACTGAAATATAGCTGGGATTATATTAAATTAATGTCTTCCGAGAGTAAATTGTTATGATGCTTTCGAGCTATATAGTTGACTATTAGGGAGATATTTAAATTGACTTTATTTATTCTATATCTATCTCATTCTTTATTTCCTGCTTCAATATCATTTAACAAATGACAGGTTAGTTTCTGCAACGTCAGCTGCTTCTCGAAAGTTGACAGGCAAATAACCTAATAATTACGTATCCTTCCGCTAGGACAACATTTATATAAAGTGAGCCGACTAAGATTAAAATATACATCGTTATCAGCGTTGCTAAGGTTCTATGATAAAACAATTCTGAAAATTCATAACCATGTGACTAGTTTTATATATACTTCTATATGGACTTCATTTTGATAAGCCTTTGACTGTGACTCTGATTACAACCCCAGTGACTTTAAACGCATTATTTCTTACTAGTTTCATGATAAAGACATGAAAATTCTTACACCTATACGAAATATCGTGTACATCAGAGGATCCAAGAAAACAGTCTTTGTCTAAAAATTCATCTTATTTATTTAGTAAAAATTCACATGTAAAACATTATTTATTTAACGAGACTTAATCTGCTAATAAAAACACCTTTATTATTATTTTCGGTGAAAAAGAAGTACGGGTGCAACCTCGTTATCAGCGTGTCGAACTGCGGATCATAGGGTCCAGGATTCGAGACGTGATGCCGCTGGACATGCTCCGAACTTTCAGCTGTAAGTGCATTATAAAGAGCTAAAAAAAACAAAAAAAACAACCTTGCGGCGATGGGTTCTGCTTGGCTGCCTTCCCTCTGGTGAGTAGTTTAAAATGAAGGACGACTATACATAGACCCTAGGGATTTTTAACCTGCCGTTTAGCCCACGAGCACATAAGGTTGCCGTTCAGGTTGAATATTCCATTTCCAGTGGTTTTCTTTTCCTAATGTAGTTCGGTAATCCCATTAAGTAGTTTTGCCTCTAGATTTTAGAATTAAAAAACACATAATGTGAATGTGGGTACACCCTAATGGCTCAGCAGTTAGTCTGCAGGTTTACGACACTAAAAATTGGGTCTCGATATTCGTGGTGGGCATAACTTAAACAGCCCATTGTGTAGCTTTGTACTTAAACCAACCAACCAATTGAATGTAGAATTTCCGCTTCTACAGTGATCGTAACCATAAGGTGGCTATGTTGATGTTATTTAATGATTTTGAGAAACTTGACGTTAGGTTTCGCTTTCTTGTCATTAAAAAGAACAGTAAAGATTATTTTTTAAAAGCCCTGCATTACTTTCTCTCTAAACTTCATTCAATTCGTTACACAAGAGTAATTTCGAGTTAGTAAATTACAAACATATGATAATTGACAAAACTCTGAAGAAAAGTTTTTCGTTTCAGCAGTGTGGTTGTTAGTCGATTAAAAAGCTTCAAAATGGTCAACGAAAATTTGAAAAGATATTATCATCTTCTATGTATTGATATTAAATAGCAAGATTTGTAGCAATATTTACAAACATCTTATTTTATTTTATCTATTATATTAAATCCAATAACTCAGCGAACTACTGACAAAATCAAATGAATCCAAAAATGGTATAGATTTCCTCCCCCTCCACTCAAGTGTATAGTCTAAGGAAGGATTACTTAATCTGTCGATAGTTTTAATATTAAAAGTTGTCTAGTTTCTGCTTTGTGTTCGAATAACAACAAAGATCATAACCAACAAAAAATTTAGCTGTTTATTTAATAGATATTTGATAAAACTAATGGCACTGATAATTTCTAAACTATTGACATCCAGTCGTGAAAACTCAGCCGATTCACTACTAATCCGTCTGTTTTTATAGCCACCCGTCTGCTCAACGATAAATCTCTAATCTTACGACGCTAAAAATCCGGTTTCGATACCCGTTGTGGACAGAGCACAGATAGCTTATTGTGTAGCTTTGTGTTTAACAATAAGACCTGTTTTGATACCTAGAGATCACCAAGTTACTCTGTAAACGACGACTACGTTTAGTATGGTAATACGTTGAGGCTAGTAAACATGTATAATAAACAGGTGAAACTTTGCTGTAATCAGAGCTTTACACCTATAGAATGATTCTCCATTGGTCGGTTGATTGTCGTCCATACCATATACGGTCTTGGCGGGTAAGCGCGTTGCGCGCAAAGAGAATGTGAGGCCAGGTAAGTCATCTTTCATTGATCGCCCAGTATCTTTGTGATCCGCTGCATCTAACGACGGGTCATGTTCTGTGTACAGGATGGTTGTCATGGTAACCCTTTGAGTTACCGTTTGTATGTCTAGCCATTTGGTGCCTGTTCAGGTGTTAGATTTGTCGCCAGTTGCATGACGTCCATCCCCTTTAGTTCGAGGTCTTCACATCTTGCAAGTATGAAGTAGAATATATATGCTGGATTCTGAAGGTTAATAGAGAGGAATGGCTGATAGTAAAGGTATGTCTTGTCGTTACCTTTCAGGTAGAACTTCATGACGGTCCAATAAAGTATCCTTACGCGAACAAATTATAATATGGAAGTTTTCTCTTAGTCCACAGTGCCCTTACTTCAAGAACATAAATAAACACGTGGATTACATAATATATTATTGATATTGTTCTTTTGTTCGAAAACTATCGGAACTCGGTGTTTACAAAAAGGTTGTACGACGATAATTTGTTGGAGTCGTGCGGAAGCCCTACTACAGTTTGGGGTTAAGAAGTGTGTGTTCTGGATACGTAGTATTTATTTTAGCAACTTTTATATACCGCTTCATCATCATCATTATTTTATCTTATATTTTTCGATTTAACGTTTAAATCATAGTATAGGTGTATCACTTAAGGTTTTGTATTCAAATCCCACAAAGAGTGTTTTGTGTGTGTGTGGGGGGGGGACACAAGTGATCAAATGTAAGATAAGTGTAATATAAATACGAAATACTTAGTTGATATCCATTATAACTAAAACGTGATTTATTGAGAATAATCGGCATGCAAATATATTTGACGCGTGATTAGAGAACATTTTTTATAATCAAAGGGCACGTGCATTTGTCTGTATGTCAAGTAACAATATGTCATCAGACCAAAATAAATATATCTCAGGATGATTTATAACTTCAGAAAAATTTTAATTGTCTGCGGGAAAGCATATGAGAAAACAAATGTAGTTATTTTGAGATTAATTTAAAATGCTTGTATAACGTAAAGCATAAAGAACAACACAGTCGTTTACGGTCCACTCAAGTATAGTTTGATTTAAGTACCTATTGAACAATTGGTCCAAGGAAAGGTTCAGACTCAATATGAAGCCAGGTCCTCCAGTCACTTGGGTCCAGATAACTATAGTTTAATTATATATTGAACAATTGGTCCTAGGAAAGGTTCAGACTCAATATGAAGCCAGGTCCTCCAGTCACTTGGGTCCAGATAACTATAGTTTAAGTATCTATTAAATAATTGGTCCCAGGAAAGGTTCAGACTCAATATGAAACCAGGTCCTCCAGTCACTTGGGTCCAGATAACTATAGTTTAAGTATCTATTGAATAATTGGTTCCGGGAAAGGTTCACACTCAATATGAAACCAGGTCCTCCAGTCAATATAATCCAAATAATTTAAAATGTAAACAAACACCGAATAAGTTACTGATTTTGTTCTAGAAATTGGTAAACAAACGATATAGAAATTGAAAACAAGTATCTGGATAAGTTTAATACCAACAAAAGAAATAAACAACTAACATTAGGAACAAAGTTACACAAATATTGACTATCGAATAAAATCAGTGGCAAATTGAAGCACACTGTTTGGATAGTTTAACAGCTATTTCTGAGAAACGCCTGGCATGGATGGTTTGGTGGTTCGAATCCCGTCACTGAACATGCTCGTCCTTTCAGCCACAGGGGTGCTATAATGTGACAATCGATCTCACTTTTCGTTGATAAAGAGTAATCTAAAAGTTGGCGTTGGATGGTGTTGACTAGCTGCCTTCCCCTAACGCTTATAAAGGAGGAACGGCTATCGCATATAGTCATCGAGTAGCTTTGCGCGAAATTCAACAAACAAGTAATATTTCTGAGAAATAGTGAGCGTGTTACTCTTAAGCAATTTGAGAACATTCTTCAACTCATTTATTTCATCAACTTTTTTTTATAGAAGTCGTTCCATTAGTTGCGCCAACATAGCCACCAGATTAGGTTATTCGGCAACTATAAAGTAAGTGCTACTAGTTATGATGTGCACGCTCTAAAGCAGTGGTTTTTAAAACCTTTTTTCCTGACCAAAATGGAATGTATACTATCGCTTCCTTTCCGTACTTCTGTAACCTTTTTTGCGAACCACCCGAAATACATCCGTGACCACAATTGAGAACCGCTGCTGGAAGGACTGTTTTCTGTGTGATAAATATTAGCATGTTTTCTCTTTATTCGGATTTTGGGTTTTTCGGGAAAATCTTAAAATCGAAAAGCTGTACGGTTATTAGTGATATTATTTAATTTGTAGCTTTTTTTACGCCAAAATATTTCCAAAGAATAAATTAGGTATCTCTCTAAAGCCTAGGCCTGTTTTTCATAATTATTCGTTTTTGTTTTTTTAATAATGCATAAGTTACTAACCGTATTAACTTCTGGTTACTTCTTTGGCCGCTTCATACCTAATACTTTATTTGTGAACAAGTATCTTTTAGATGTTTATTGTCCACTGATAAACAAATAAATCTGCATATTTGTGAACAAAACAAACGTGAAGTTATTAAACGGAGAATATCGTCAGAACATAATCAAGATAATCATGTAGAAAAGACGTAAGTTAGCTTTGGGGATACATTATATGCTCTAAAATCGCCCAAGGTTGATTTTCTGACGTTTTTCCAGAGACACACCCATCCTCAAAAATCTATGAAGTTCTTGAGCGTGGTGATGTGTGTTGGAGCAGGCTAGGAGTGGGGACGCCATCGTCCTCATCTCGATTGTGAAAAGCTCGAACACGACATTTTGATGATGCCATAACTATCTCTTCACGGAAACAGTTTGAAAAAGCTATCTTACCCAACACCTATTCTTCATACCACTAGAAAATTGGGAAAATAAAAAAATAACACCAACTATACTATAAAAATTTACACTAATCAACGCTTGAATAATGTTTAATATACCCCACCTGCGAGTAACTAAAATCTAATGAAACTATCGCGTCTAATAACAAAGAATATATTTCACTATGAAATTATTGGTCATTTAAATCAACGCCCTCTAGATATCAAGCTATGTCACAATTAACCTCATAATTTTTTAATTTTTCTTTTTCAAATTCATTTGGTTTTAGCTTCTGAATCACTCGCTACACGTTGCGCACGTGATGCTTTTCAAATTCAAACATAAATTAAATCACACTTTTGACTACAAGTTGGGTGGGCCCAAAAAACTTAATAAAAGGATGGGAAAATTAATTAGGGTATAAATTTTGGAAATTACAATCACTGTAATTAGTTTAGGGGAACCAATCTAACGCATTTAATTTTTTGGAAATTTGGCCTCTGGACCCATTAATTGTTTAAAGATAGATACATTGAGAACGTTACAGGCACCTTTTACCTATTTATTGTTTATTACTTGACATCTTATTTAAATATTAAACGATTGCGAATGGCCCGGCATGGCCAGGTGGTTAGGGAGCTCGACTCGCAATCTGCTGGTCGCGGGTTCGAATCCCCGTCCCACCAAACATGCTCGCCCTTTCAGCCGTGGGGGCGTTATAGTGTTTCGGTCAATTCCATTATTCGTTGGTAAAAGAGTAGCCCAAGAGTTAGCGGTGGGTGGTGATGACTAGCTGCCTTCCCTCTAGTCTTACACTGCTAAATAAGGGACGGCTAGCGCAGATAGGCCTCGTGTAGCTTTGCGCGAAATTCAAAAACAAACAAACAAAACAAACTATTTGCGAACATTTATTTGTAGAATAAAAAGTGATTATTGTTCCAATAAGGAACACGATTACATCGAATTTAAGTCACGCTATTGTAACACTTCAAAATTTCAAGTTTAATGTACAAGCTTAATGTCATTTTGTAATATTTCTTAAATTCCCAGGGGATATGAGTACACTTTCAAAATTGTCAGTTAACACTCTACACAGCACTGGATCCAAGTTAACACTCTACCCAGCACTGGATCCAAGTTAACACTCTACCCAGCACTGGATCCAAGTTAACACTCTTCCCAACACTGGATCCAATATGTTAACTGTCAACTGCACTCTACCCAGCACTGGATCCAAGTTAACACTCTACACAGCACTGGATCCAATATGAAATCAAAATTCTGGAACTTGTATGAGAGAAATATGGCATGATTCATTAGTGATTTTTTTATTGAAAGTACGAAAAAAAATGATTAAACATGGACTCCATGCGTACGTTAAACATTGCCCAATGTATTTTAGCGATTTTTAAAACAATAGTTACTTTCATAATTTATCGTAAAGCTACATAGGGACTATCTCTTCATGGCTAGTCCCCCATGTTGAATTGAGAGAATACTGAGTTTTGACCTTCACTCTTATACCGCATCCATGGCGGAACGCGTTTTTGCAGCAATGGGTCGCGAACAACGAACGATATGATTCACAGTTCAGGCACGCTAACCACTAGGCCATCTTCGTCCTTAAAACGGTAGAACTTAGTATGTTTATCTTCTTAATGACATGTGGCCCTCGAACTGTGTAAAGCAGTTTGTTTGCTGTGGTAATGGGTCCTTCGGTGGGACAGCGGTAAGTCTGTGGATTTACAACGCTAAACGCAAGAGTTCGATTCCCATCTGTGGACACACCGACGAGGTTTTACTATAAAACACACATACACTGTGGTCATGACGATTTGGTTGTGCCGATATCATTTTACATTATGTTTTGATTGTTGCATAAGATTGCGTATGGTGACTTAATTCTGATGCCTCAGTTGGTTTCAGTAAATAAGTTTATGGCATTAGGTTGTGATGCTCTTTGTATGGTAACTTGATGTTAACGTTAACATTTTATAATGACTTGCATAATTTAGAAACATTATTTCGGCTGAAATTGGTTTGTTTGTAATTAAGCACAAAGCTACACAATGGGCTATCTGTGCTCTGCCCACCACAGGTATTGAAACCCGGTTTCTAGCGTTGTAAGTCCGTAGACATGCCGCTGTGTCACTGAGGGTTTCGGCTGGAATGTAGCGGTCTACCTCTGTATGGTAGCTTGGTTGTGGCGATGTAAGTTTAATAGATGACGCTACATTTGTGAAACAGTCTGGTTATCTGAATACCACAGTGTAACACAACCTGATTTTATCCCCAATTATGTACTGACAGTTACGAATCCGAAAATAATTTTGCAAGTTTAATCTCTAACCTTGGTTCTAGATGAAATTACAATTTGATATTTGAGTTTAAGGAGTAGAGTCTTAGCCAGTAAAGCT